CTTGTTCTGCACTCTGGATTGAGGACCAGAATGAGATAATGCGTACTTGCAGCCAAAATGAGTTTCATTCACAGGGTGTCTGAGCTTTCTGTAAGGCTGCTTTCACACTAGGGTTTGGGCGAGATGTTAAAATTTTCCACCCGGCCACCATCAGTCTGACAACTGGTGATTGCCGATATATTGGTGCCAAATATAAAATCACCTATTTGGGGATTACTTCAGTTTTAAACTGGATGTAACCGGCAAGCTGAAGGACTTGTCATCTTTTTCAAATGTATAATCCTGGCAAAATATTACCAATTTGTACGAGCATCTGCGAATACTCCATCCCGCTGAGCACACTTCACTATCACCAAGAGCAGTGGCCCCCCTCAACCTCCACTGGACCGGCCGAAAATCGCCTCAACAACCGGCGATGGAGCCAATCCAATCCAATTGCCCCACTCCAAGTCAGACCAATTTTAATCCTGGGAGAAAAAAATGCAGCTGCTGTGCAGTGTTTTGGTTTCAAACTCGTGTGTCTGTAACTTAAATTCGCCTATCATGTCTCAAACACAACAGCCACTTGTGTTGTTAAAGCTTTAACAATGGAAGGAGCTGCTCTGTGAGGCTTGGACGTTCTGAGGGGGATGTTAGGAATAAAAAAACCACTGCTCCTTCATTTTGAAAAGAACATGTCCTCCCTCTGGATGTATTCTGGACACGTCTGACTAGGAGGAGACCACGTGGTAGAACCCAGCAGGAGGAAAATGGGGTTGACAGGAGGATTTTGAGTTTAACTGAAGCCCTTTTTCTTTGCCCATTCAGCCACGTTTATTTTACTATATTTATTCCAAACACTCCCGAAACAATGTACTTTTGAAATCAATCTGCTCTTAAACTCTAAACCGTAAAGGTAATGCTGAAGAAAATAATCTAGACTCGGTGTTCACTGGAAAGGGTTACGCAACACAAAAAGGTTCAAGAGTCTGCTAATTAATTTTCATATATAAATGGAAATCAATGGCTGCGTGACTCTGTATGAATAATATATAAAACTGTACAGCATTCACTGAAAACGCTCGGAGAAGAATTTGAGGAATTTGAAGCTAAAGCTTTCAAACACACTGGTATGGAGCTTTTAACTTTAAATGTTTTTCTTAAAAAGGACAGATTTATGACACCCCCACCCCCCCACTCCCATCCACTCAGTGTGGTCCATTATAAACAGACAGATGTTACAACTGAGGTGAAGAGGAGAACCCACGGCTGTAAAGTCCTTTTCCTCCTCACCTTCACCCGCAAGCAAGTCCTTCAGCGTAAGATAGACTTCCTCCACACACACACACACACACACACACACAGAATCCATGCACCTCTCAGTCCCCTCACCAACTCCTCTCCACTCCCTCTTCGGTCCCTGTGCAGCTATGAAACTTTATCTGGGGGAACACAAGCACACACACTTACGCACGAACACACATAAACACACTGACAAAAACAGCCACATCTGCACTACACATTTCCACATGATTCCCACATCGTAATTAGATCAGAAGTTTACAAGGATAGCCTCATAGACACTGTTGGCCACTTTCCCTCTGCTCCTATTCTCCCAAAGTTTCAACGCGCGCACACACACACGCACGCACACGCACACACACACACACGCACACACACACACACACACACACACACACACACACATTCCTCCAGGGTGATTCAGGACAATTGTGCTCTCTCTAGCAATTGTTAAATTGGCAGAGATGATAAATACATTAAAGTTCAAACGAGGCCTGGATGGCACAAACTACACTGCTACAATACCACCGAACAGAGGTATTCTTCTGTGTTTTTGTGTGTGTGTGTGAGTTCATTGTGAGTCTATACTCTCACAGTCACACACACACACACACACACACACGCCTGCTGTGCCTGCTGAATTGTGGAAACCTGCTCTTTCTCTCCACCATGCACCGAAGCTGCGCCTCCATAAATTCAATTCTTCGCTGCGTTTAGAAAACGTCGTTAAAAACCATAAAATCTCACTCCTTGGTTTTACAATCCCACTCGCTTAATTCAATCAGTGTAATAGAAGCTGAGTCATGTGGGCCTCGACTCTTCTCAGTGAAAACCAAGCACACACACACACACACACACACACACACACACACACACACACACACACACCTCTGACTTTCAGTCTGTGCATAAAGACATTTGATTTCAGAAAGTAAACATACATGACACTAATACAGTTCTTTTCAAATCAAAAGAGCTATATTTGAGTTGTAGCACCTTTCTTTCCTTGTAGCTACACAGAGAGGATTTTCATAGTTGATCAGTAGATGATTCAATTACAAATTTAGCCTAAAATAGTAGTTCCCAACCTTTTTGGCTTGTGTCGCATTCAAACAAATCAAATTCTATTCGCAGGTTGTAAAAAGATACACTTGTTTTCCTTTATAAATTGCTTCTTTTCAAAGATTTTCAGACGCCAGAAGAGGTAAAGTTTACCATAATTTCACAAGAAAACAGTAAAGATTTGAAAAATGCCAGAAAAAAAAGAATGTCATTTTGTAAAACAAAAAATTCTGTTTTATTTTTGTTATCCACTTAATCATCTTGTGAGCCCCTCAGATCTGTATCTTGGGACCTCTTGTGGAGTCCCAATGCCAAGGCTGGGAACTATTGATCTATAAAAAGAAAGTCCAAAGTCCAAACCTCAAAGATATTTACAATGTACAATGATATAAAAGAGAGAAAAGCATCGAACAAGAGAGTGTCAAAACGGTTGGCAATTAATTTCTTCCGTGCCAGTTTGCCCCAACCAGAGTTTAGATTCAAAAAGTACACCACATGAGAAGATGGGATCCAGAGAGACATAATCAATTCTTTTAGTTGTTCCAAACTGACAAATGTGAACCTGAGGAACCTGAACCTCAGCCCCAATTTGAAACACATGCTTTACTCAAAGATGTGCTGACTGTACGACTAAATAAAGGAATAACATCGACCTGGGCATTCCTGGCGTGAGATGGAATTTTTCAATAGAAAGTATGAGATAGTAGCAGGGAATTACATAGCTGTGGTATGAAATGGCCACAGCAGCAACACGAATGTCTGAACTATGAGATTGACTGGAGTGAGTCCAAGAGGTCGAGCGCCTGACTGGAGCGCAGGATCGATCAGACAGTACTAATGGATTAGGAAGGTCCGGCTAGATGCTGTGATATCTGTCAGCTGCTTCCATGTGTCCCCTTAAAAAAGTGACATCCCACAGATCAATATGTGGCGATCAGACTCACTGAACATTCAACCGGCCACAGATCAATACCACTTAGCCTCCCCTCTCCCAACCCCTAACTAGCCTAATGTGACAGAGGAAGACTGATGGGGGAAAGAACATCAACACACACACACACACACACACACAGACACACACAGACACACACAGACACATAGCACACACACAACACATACAGACCTCAAAAAGGCTTAGGAGGTGTCAAACAAAAGGGCAGCATCTGCTCATGTGCTTTATGAGCGAGCAGAGAAAAAAAAAGGGAAAAAGACCCTCGTCTGACATTTCACATCGATATACAGAAGTGTAAAAGAGGAGCGCTGAAGATCTCCTCCACTTGACAAACTGACATGCTCTGCAGGAAAATACTCCTGTCTGGCTCTGCTGCCAAGACTTCCCTCCAGCCAAACGCTGTCTGGTGCCAAAAGTCACTCAAGCATTTTTCTGCACGGGGCATACACCACGCAGAGCGCCTCGCTCTGTTTCTGCATCAGAAATACTACCCCGCCTGGACCAGTGACCCATTCACTGTTTCACTGGGTGATGATGGGATCCATATGGGCCCAATTATATTTTTTTTCTTTCTTACTATTCTGGACTATTTATGCAGGGAAAAAAAAAACTCTGCCTGAACACACTTGTACCTTTCTAGCAAAAGTCAGAAGTCGTGCAGTTACGCAAATTTGCACCAGAGAGCTGCCAAGTCCAAACAAAGTCTTTGTTGAGTGGTGGGAGTTCAATGCCTTGCTCAAGAGGATCATTGTGATACTCAGCTGAGAAATGATGATTTACTACCACACTTGTTAAGCTGCTAGAACCAACAACTTCCCAGCTGAGTTTTTAAATCTTTAAATATTTATCTATAATATATAATACATAATATAATATAATAATATATATCTATATATAATATAGCAGAATTCAGGGAAACACTCAGAGAATCCAAATCCTGCAAGGTTTGTATGGTGGGTCCAGGTGGGCGGGGCTTGGGGCGTGGCTGTGAGTGGTGACTGCTTTGTTGTGACATCACAAAGTTACAGAAGTCCTGACGGCTGGTTTTAAGGCTCAGTTTCTGAATACAGGCTGTGTGCATTTCTCTGTGGACTGAGGCTTTGATACTTTCACAGTATTAATATAGAAGCTAGACCTGATCTATAATCACACTACACATGGACACAGACCTTTATACAACATGGGACCTTTGAGACGATTTTATTTAGACAAAAATCTTGTGCAGCTGTTTGTGTTTATACATCATTTAATATTTGAGAAGTTTTTCTACTCATATTTAATGCAAAAAATTTTTTATATTCCTCAAGGCAAGTTAGACAACCTTTAATTAAAAGCTGACAGATCACACGTCTGATCCTCTGACAAACTGGGACACTAGCAAACTTTAAGACCAACTTCTGTCTTACAATCCTTTAGAAATGTAGAAGTCTCTGTCCAACTTCAACTGTCACCAACTGGGCAAAAGCATTTTCAGCTGACACATGGATGAAGAAATCACATCAAATCTAATAAACCGGCTTGCATGAGTACTTTGGCCTCAGTGCCAACTTGATGTCTACAACTACTGTCGGCCAGTAGTGTGAATTCAAAGCGGATTTTAATGATAAAATCTAACTCTTAAATGTCTTTATTTGACAATAACATCTTTTGTTTATGGTGGACAGAGGAGGATGACAAAAACAGAATCAGAGGATTGTGAACTCACTGCATCCGTCCTCGTCGCTGTGGTCCCCGCAGTCGTTGTCTCCGTCGCACTGCCACTGGGCCGGGATGCAGGTACACTCCCCGAACGCACTGACCGCACACGTGAAGTGATTCCTCCCACACGAACACTCAGCGCTGCCCTGAATGCCTGCACACGGAAGGGAGAGAGGGTCAGAGGTCACACACGGCCAGGTTGTGTTACTGGAATTCAAATAAGCAAATACTGATTAAACTGGTTTCACACACAGACATGCCTGAGTGTGAAAGTATTTAATGTGCAGGTGGACTCATCTCAGTTGGAAAACCAAAACCTGCCTCTGAACCCTGACTCAGCTGACACTGAACAGGAGGAGGCTGCAGAGGATTCAGACAGGGAGGACATTTACTCTAACGCACATGACACAGCTGATGATTCAAACATGTGACTCCTTGCATTGTTTTTTTTTATTTTTTTATTATGATTTATTCACCCTGCTTAACTCCTCTGTTTGTGTGACACCACAACCACAGCCAAGCTGTTAGTGTAGTTTAATGGGATTCCCTATTTGATTTATGCTGCAGCTGTAAACTCCACCCGGCTGGGACTCTAACCTGGTTTCAGCTCTGATGAAATCAACTCAACCATGTTGTGAATGGATCAGTGGTTACAGTACTATCTCCATAAATTACCTTCATGGAGGTTAAAGTAAAAAAAAGAAGAAAAAAAAAGGTTTTGGTAAAGTCCAAGTCAAATCTCATATCAAGTGTCAAGTCCTCGAGGATGATTTCAAGTCCGCTGCGAGTCCGGTCTCTCAAAGCTGTGTTGTGTTTTTACATAGCTGAGATCATGTCCTTTCAACATACAGGCCTTACTTAAATATTCAAGCTGTGTGGCTGTGCAGGTCCTGCCTGATGTTGTCTTTCTTTTAAATTATAATTGTGGAATTTCACAGAATCTAAAGTAGAAATTTAAATAGAAACAATTTTGCAACTTAAATCTGACCTCGCTCCAAGTCTTCAGCTCTACAGCAGAGCAGAGTCAAAATAACAATCTCTGCCAAACATTAACAGCTAATTAGCTAATGCTGAAATATTGCAGTGGTAACAAAATGACAGTTCAGGCTGCTGGTGTTCATGCGCTGCCGTCTTTGTTTTCAGAGAGCTCGGTATGTCAGCGGCATTTCTCTGAGCCGCCGTCTGCCACGCGGCGTTTCTCTGAGCCGCCGTCTGCCACGCGGCTTCTCTGTCACCTCTCCAACGAGCTGTGTACTGCTAACTACACCCTAACAGGGTCCATGCAGCCACACACTATGTCCCCATGCAGAAATGTGATTAATATGGTTTTCCTCTGGACAATTTGTGGCATTCAAAGAGAGCGATTAACATGTCTGATCTTAATGTGAATGGATTTCATTTAGTTAATCTCCTCTGCCAGAACATGCATTTGCGTGTTGCATGGGTAACAAACACAGTATTATGACCATGACTGTAAACCAGTGTAGCCACAGGTAGTTTTAGCTCCTCAGAGTGAGGAGGTTTTATGAATCTGTGCTTGTTGTGTGACTGTTTATACTCGAGATCCCTTCTGACAAGCAGGATGACGTCTTGTTAAGAGAAGCACCAAGTGATTTATTCAGTGGAGTTTCTTCCCTGTCCTCAATAAACAGCTGACACTCATCAGCGTTATGATTCACGGAGTCAATAATGAGGTTTGTGAGCTAAAAACCGACCATGATGAAAACAATTCAGATGTTATTCAAAATAACATTAACAGGTATTTTTAAGTTTACATTTTTGTAAGTAAACTGTTTAAGAATTTGGCCCATTCATTCTGCCCTGATGTGAAAAATATGGAGACAGTTACAGCTGAACAATATGCAAAAAAAAAATATTATTTTGGCAGATATTGCATTTGAGTCACAATTTCAGTTGGTCATTTCTGCATCTCTTTTTCACTGAAAGATATTTAAAAAATAAATGGTGGTTATGTGACTTTTGCTGGGGTCTGTACCAAACAAGTATGTCCCTTTACATCTGGAGAATATGATTGTCTCTGTAGCGCCACAACGCTTCATTTATGGTCTGGTTGTTGTGGCGACACATTTTATCTACTGGATATTGCACTTGTGCAGCCCAAGAGACAGTATTATTAAATGCAACAGTATTGCAAATTAGACAATTAGACCCTCACACACACACTTTATCTTGAGGCACTAAAGTGCCTTGAGATAATGCATGTTGTGAATTGGCGCTATACAAATAAAAATTGATTTGAAATTGACTTGACCATCTATTCTTGACTCACTAGGCCAGTGGTTTCCCTCATTTGGGGCTTGACCCCATAAAACCAAGCAATATCCATTTGTGCAGTGGAAAGTTTTACTTCTCTCCTTCTGAGTAAATTATCTAGTAAATCACAAGAAGAGACTCACAGGTAGAATGGATACCTACGTTAACAGCAGGAGCTTTAGCCAAAGAGCACATTATAAATCATGAAACATCTTCAGTCTCTCTGTACTGTAACCTGACCTTATTTTGATTTAGGAGAAATAAAGTTACATTAACCAGAAATACACAGTGTTTACTGGCCCTTTAATGTGGCCTCGTTTTTCTTACGCTGTGTGCACATGTGCACAGACAAACACAGTTTCCCAAAATACATAGTCAAACAAACATACATACACACACAACCCCACACACACACACACACACACACACACACACACACACACACACACACACACACACACACACACACACACACACACGATCCATACGTTCGCTCAGCTCTGGTTTCCCACCACAGCAGAGAAAAACACGGCGTCACCACACCTTCAGACGCATCACAGCACATCACGTTCAGGACAGGAAATAAATAAAGGTTTCCCATTTTGCTCTCACTTTGAAGCCTATTAATGACCATCTGTGTGTGTGTGTGTGTGTGTGTGTGTGTGTGTGTGTGTGTGTGTGTGTGTGTGTGTGTGTCTATTTTGCTGAAACTGGCCTGCCGCAACAAACCCAGAGTTTCTTGGAACGCACATAGTGTATGTGTGTATGTGTGTGTGTGTGTGTGTGTGTGTGTGTGTGTGTGTGTGTGTGTGTGGTTCCTGGCCTCCTCACAAAGGCATCAGTCAACCCAGGAGGGCCTGGCAGAGAGAGCTCAGTAACCTTCAGATCCCTCCCACAGCACTAAATTAATGGCCTCTTTCTTTTCATTTCCCTCTCTCCCTCTCTTTCTCCTCATTCTTCTCTTTCCACCATCCCCTCTTCACACTTCCCCTTCAGCTGCCTCCCTTCTTTTCTCCTCTTCCCCACTTTTTTCCTCTCCCCTCCCCTCGTTTCCAGAGGGAAACAGGGATGCCGTCATCCAAGTCTTCCTGTCTTTAAAGTTGTCTTTCTAATTTTCTTGCACAGTGTGTAGTTCCTGAGGTTCTGGGACAGCGAGGGAGGGGGTGTGCCATTTACACTCTGAGAGACAGACAGGACAATCACAGACAGACAGGTACAGACTAAGGCCTGAAAATCTCCAACTGAGACTAATTCCTGATACTCCATAGCATCCACAGCAATGGCTTATACTGCAGTGTCGTGAGCTGTGCTGGATTTGTAATGTAAAGCACGTTATGTGTGTTTTATTCATCTGTGTGTGTGTGTGTGTGTGTGTGTGTGTGTGTGTGTGTGTGTGTGTGTGTGTTTTGGTTTGCACTGAGCTAAATTAGAGTCTGTGAGCTGGAGCAGAAGTCGTGTCAACATGAAGCCACATCTCAGGCCGAGCATTTGTCAAACATACTGGAGCCATTTGCTCCGACTGGAGCCGAAGAAACGTACAACTTTTCGCAGGAGACCATCACACACACACACACACACACACACACACACTACGCTGCACATGCATGAGCATCTTATTCTCAGTCCTGCATCAAGATTTAGGTGTATATATATATATTCACAGCAAGATGTCAGCAGGAGATTTGACAACAGGCACAAAACATCTCTTTGATATTGTGCTGGTTGTCCAGGACCACTGTGGCTAGTGTTGCAAATCAGAACTATTGTTCTGTCCATTAAATACCACTAATAGACAATTATTAAATTCTATTTAATAATCTAGTCTATTAATAGTTTCTCAAAATATTTTCCAGAAGATGCACCATTTCCCAAAATATTTTTCTGATTCTATATGACACATCAGCCAATACTGGAAGGTTGCAGATACATCTCAGCGGTGCAGATCCTGGCAGATAACCAACAAGACGAATCTAAGGGATCCATATCCAATTTGTTTTTTTTTTACGTCAAAACATTACCATCAGATGACATGTTGTTATCGTATCATTTATCATCATCTCCTAAAAATATCTCAAATAACATTAGCATCAGTCTCAAAAATCCAGAATCAGTCAATCGACTCACGGCACAGGTAGAGAACTGTGGATACGTCGAGATATTTTGTGTAACTGATGATGAACTACAATTACAATAACTCTAACAACCAAGTCAAGTTACAGTTAACATCAATTCCTGTCTAGACTCATATAATATATGTAGTGAAGACCTTAATAGAATAGTAAATTAGCAAATGTATTGTGTTTTTGCAGAACATTATGATGTCACAGTGAAGGTCTAATCAGTAACTGGAGGAATTATTTAAAAATATACTTATTTTTCAGGTAATTTATATTTTCCAGATTATTTTAAAGAGGTTACATGAAACGACCTTTTTTTCAGATTGCAGAGTTGGAGGATTTCCACACACAGTAACGCGACCGCTGTGTCAACGTTGGTCAAACCGGACAAAAAGCTGAGCAGACATGAAAGCAAAACATATCTGCTAGAAAGAACAAGGAAGACGGAAGCACCTGCTCCACAGTAATGGAAAAGAAATGACTGTTATGCTACTGATACTGTGTCACCACTGACAGGTACGCACAGAACTGGCACAAGCGCATCAGCCACAAATTAACAGTCTCATGCTACAAACGCCATGAAAAACAGAAAAGGTTCAAAGCTGTCAAATCAGAAAAATAAAATTGTCAAATATGGTGTGAATACTTTTCCACATGGGTGGGCAGAGACTTGCTAACGCTTCCAGTCTGTTCTGGAAGAGAAATTACTGTTTTTTATGAGGTAAAAGTGCCAAAAAGACAACGCCAACATCAGTTCGAGGTC